GGCATCCCTCTAGTAAATGGCTCACACTCAATTCTCACATCACCTAAGACATCATCACCAATAACATCATTATATTCTCTATTAGGCGCTGATAACACTACCGACCAACCATGATGCATCGGGTCGTCAATAAAAAATACTTGTGCCTTGATGTTAAATTTAACACCTTTAATAAGATAGCTCCTATATAATGGCTCTGCCATGTTTGGACCAGTTGCTAGCCACCTTAAATTTTCTGATACCCCATGATTGCCTCCCTCATCAAGTTCACTTTGAACCTGCAAATTAATCATATCTTAATTCAATCTAACATAGAAAGAAGAAAATTAAAAGTCCAATATGTTATTGAATAACATATACCTTGAAGTGTAGCCATTGAATAAAAGTGCTATTGTGCTTATCTTGCAGCCACTTTGTTCTCTTCCTAAATTTTGGATAAGCGGCCTTAATGTGGATCATATGTTCCTTACGTGACACGAAAAATTCAAGCATTACGGTCCCAATCAATTATTGCATACCTTAAATTTAACATAAGGAATAATTTAAAATGGAAACTTAAAGAATAAAACTCATACTCGATATAAGGTAGGAGTTCCTCCGTATTCTCCAAGACATATAGATGTGCTTGGTTCAACAGGTCCCGATCAACTACGCTCACTGTGCAACCTAATAATGGTTTTGAAACTCCTATCTTCTGACTTGATGGCACTCCAATTGTACTAATATCAGATAAATGTTCAGTGCAAAATTCTACAGCTTCTTCAGCTATATAACGCTCCGCAATGCAACCTTCGGGATGAGTACGGTTCTGAACATACCCCTTTAGAACTTTCATATATCTTTCAAACGGATACATCCATCTAAAATATACTGGCCCACATAGACGAACTTCTCTGACAAGATGTACTACTAGATGAACCATGATATCGAAGAATGAGGTGGAAAGTATTTTTCAAGCAAACACAAAGTAACTACTACATCTTCTTCCAACTTATCTAGATTGGAAACATCAACCATCTTTGCACATATAGCATTGAAGAAGAAGCACAAACGAGTTATTGCATACCTTGCAGGCTTCTCCAAAACAGAACGAATTGCAAACCGCTCTCTTCTCTGCTCTTGACAAATTCCAAGGCCCTGGAGGCAAACAAGTACTTCTTTCTCCATACTCGGGTTGCAAAAAAACTACGGTTTTTCACAACATGAAAACCTCAACAAATTTGGTTCACCATGATCTTTGGTTTTTCACAACATGAAAACCTCAACAAATTTGGTTCACCATGATCTTTGGTTTTTCACAACATGAAAACCTCAACAAATTTGGTTCACCATGATCTTTGGTTTTTCACAACATGAAAACCTCAACAAATTTGGTTCACCATGATCTTTGGTTTTTCACAACATGAAAACCTCAACAAATTTGGTTCACCATGATCTTTGGTTTTTCACAACATGAAAACCTCAACAAATTTGGTTCACCATGATCTTTGGTTTTTCACAACATGAAAACCTCAACAAATTTGGTTCACCATGATCTTTGGTTTTTCACAACATGAAAACCTCAACAAATTTGGTTCACCATGATCTTTGGTTTTTCACAACATGAAAACCTCAACAAATTTGGTTCACCATGATCTTTGGTTTTTCACAACATGAAAACCTCAACAAATTTGGTTCACCATGATCTTTGGTTTTTCACAACATGAAAACCTCAACAAATTTACAGGGAGGTTGACGGTGCATTTTTTGGTTATATTTTAAATTTATTATGAATATTTTGAATTTTGATAGTTATAAAGACGACGGTATTCTATATAATTATGTCGTTGCAAGTGCGTTTACACGTCGGTCACACAATTTCCGTTTTTAAAAAATAATGAAAACCTATTTGAAATTCATAGGGAAAAAAAGAATGTTTAAGAATGTTTATGTCTAATTCTAACCAATTTTGTACAAAAACTTGTCTAATTCTAACAAAATTTGTACATTTTATAAAAATGTTTAAGTATGCTAAAATTCCTCTACTCCATATGAACACAAACAAACTCTGCCCATTCTTTCCTAACTTCTTCAATGGCAGCTTGGGGGTATGGCGCTTGATCCTTTCCCTTGGCAAACTGCAGTCCATAAACAAAGATTAATCTCACAGACGACGCTATTTTTAATTTACCGACGTAGTATATATATTAAACGACGGTATTTTTAATTTACCGTCGTTGATAATATAAAAACCCACATAAAAATAAATCTGAAAATTTTCTTCTTACCATCTTCTCAAATTCCAGGGAAGTATCCTTTATGATATCTCTCATAAAGCGCATGACATAATACCCGCATTCTACGCTGCTTGGTTGCTTTGGAGTGCCGGGCAGAGTTTTCCAAAGAGTTGCTTTACGGCCTACTCTGCCTATATGTGAATTATACATTTTTAAAGCACTGTTCACTATGTTTTTCCCCTCCTCATCCACAACTCGATTGCCAGGCAGTGGATCCAGAAAATAGATGGTCTCCTTCTTTGCTCTCACAATGATCAAGACCCAATGACGGCTGCACAAAATAAATATAAAGGTTAAATAGTTTTATATGCAGAGCAAACAAAATATTGTTTTTTGTTTGGAGACTAACCCTGGATTATAAGGCATCAGGAAAATCTGTTCACCATCTGTTTTTTGAAGTCGACTGAATACGACACGTGATCTTTCAGTTAATGAACCAGTGTCGGCACTAACTAGAGCAGGGTCTATAAAGCCAACCATATTTACCATATTTGCAGCTTTCAAATGATCAAATAGGCACCTAAATATATGAATTGAAACCATGAGTGTTTTTTTTTTTCAACATAAAGGCGAGTGTCAAATGAATATAAAAATAAGGACAAACCTCATATATACTGCAACTACAGTAGCCCCAATTTCCTCCATGCCAGCAAATTGGGTAATATCTTCATGCAAGACGAAGGTATTACGATCTATGCCAAACACCTCCTTCTCAATAGTAAAGGTCATAGCCTTCCCCTGAGGCTTTAGTGTCGATTCCACATAGCTACAAATGGATTGTAAAGAAGATGGCAACTCCAGCTTTGAATAATCTGGTACTTCAGTATCTTGTTTGAAGAAATAAAGCAAGATAAAGTGACGTGGTAAATAAATAAATACGACGGTTTAAATAACAAACCGTCGTCTGAAATTAAGTTATACGACGGGGAAAAAAATACCGTCGTAATGAATACTTTATTACGTCGTTTAAATAAAACCGACGTCTAATTCAAATGCAAAATTCATAATTAATGAATTTACCTTTTCAATTTGCTTTTCTCCAACACTGGATTGCTGTTTTAATAAATAAAGAGATATATATATAAGAAAGCTTGTACAACAATTTAAACATTCAATTAAATAAAAAATGCAGTGGAAATTTAAAACAAACGACGGTTTAAAGAAAATATAGACGTCTGAAAATTGGAAAACAAATGAAAAAGGCAAAGTTATGAGAATTTACCTTTTCATCTTTCTTTTCTTCTATCTTTTCTACATCCCCAGATTTCTGTTATAAGAAATAAAGAAATATATATAAGACATTGTACAAAAAGTAAAAAAAAAT